AGGTTGCCAACCACTGTTCTAGACCAATGGAGGAAAATCAAATGGTCCAAAAAAACTTGTTTCATACTGTTTTGAACAAATGGAAATGTTTTTGTATAGTGGTAACCTTATGAATGATTGAACCATATGAATGCATCATGTCAACATTGAAGGCTGCTGGAAGTGGTATAAAGGTCTGGGGCAATGTTTGGCTGGCATGGTTTAGGATCTCTCGTCCCATTGGAGGGTCAGGTGATATCTCAAGAGTATCTATAAATCATAGGCAACTATGTTCACCTTTTCTTATGCTGCTTATGTATCCAAATAATAATGGGATGTTTCAAAATGACAATGCCACTGTTTTTCCCCGTTGGGTCAACTGTAAGTTTAAAGACTTGCTTTCCACAAATCCAGGGTTCAATTTCCCATAGTGGATACAGCAGATAGCCTACTGTGGCTTTGTGCAAACACAAACAAACAGACAATGGCACTATCCATGAGGCCTGTGTCATTTATGGATATCAATCCATTCAAGCATTTTTGGGATTTATTGAAACATTTCATTGAGTACTGTCTGCTGCCATCATTTTTTATTTTATTTTTTTGGTGAAACTATACTCGGCCCTCTTGGAGAATTGGTACTAAACACCACCGGACCTATTTTACTAGCATGTGGAAATAATGCCACATAATGTTGCCACTGTAATTAAGGCCAGATGTGGTTCAGCTCAGTGTTAGGTGGATTTTATAATTTTTTGCCAGTGAGTATACCTAGACATGGTTAAGATATTGGAGACTATAAATGAAACATTGTGCCTATCAAGAAATAGTTTTCAAATAGTAGACTAATCATTTATGGAAGAATAGTATTAGACATAAGTTGTTTAAAATACATTCAAGTGGATATCTACTCAAAGATAACTGGCTAAGTTGTAAAGTGTAATAAGTTATAAGAAATTGTACTTTTTATTTTAATGACGTGTTTATAATGTATCTGTCGCTTAGGGTAAATATCAGACACCTGGAAATGTATTTAGCCCATTGGTCAGGGTTGATGATGATAATACAGAACCTCCTCTCCAAGGAATAAAGACAGTAGACCAACTGTTTCGTTCCTCTGTTAAACGTTTTGGAACAACTAAATGCTTTGGCACCAGAGAAGTGAGAGGATCAGAGGAAGAAGTCCAAAAAGATGGGAAAGTTTTCAAAAAGGTTTGTTAATAATACCATAAACTAATATTTGTGTTGCAGATCTAAATTTAAAAACTAAGTACTGAAAGTTTGTCCCTTAAAGTCAAATAAGAATATTCATAATGTGGGATCAAATTTCATTAACAATCTAGATACGCAAAGAATTAAGGTTTATTGTAGTTTTTTGAAAACAATTTTAAATAATTTTCTAATAAAATGTTTTTTTCAGAAAAGAGAAGTATTTAATATACTATGTGGGTATAAAGAATATTATCATATAGACAGATGACACAATTTGATTATAACATCACATGTAAACAGATTTGGTGTCTGGAATAAGGGGTTGAAGTGTGTAGCAGTGAACAGAAATGCCTTGGGGAGCTGGATATGGTTTGGGTTTTAGTTCTTTGTGTAAACTTGGGTTTAATATTGACATGTTTAAAATGTAAGGTAAAAACAAAAATACTAGCTCTAAATGGGAAGTTAGCTTCAAACTTTTGCTATAATGAAATAACATAAGGACGGGTGTATAAAAAAATCACGTTATTCAAGTCTATTACACAATCTAATTGGAAGGTTGCTAAACAAAACATTTCCTTAGTTAGATAAACAGGTCATTTTGATTAGAAACCAGTTATGCAAATTGCCATCATGTATACCCTCAACTCGTATTGAGATGTGTTTTCAAGTCTGTATGCAGATTACAGCAGTTCTTCAGGTATACAGAACAAATATCTAATTTCAAAACTTCTGATGTTGATACGAATATAAATCTCCTAAATATTCTCTGGGTTATTATGGATTCACCAATAGGAGGTTAACAGTTCACAAAAAAGGGGAACATGCAAACTTAAGATCCTTGTCATTTTTCCAGCTTTAAGAAACGTATACTGAATGATGTTTAAGTGAAATCTTAGGCAGAGTAAACACAGTAGGTTTTTAATGGACTGCAACTGCCTGTTAAGTGAAAAGAGCATGACATTTCAGCTTCAATACTGAGGCCTTCTTCAGGTCACTGTAGGAACTCATGTAAAGTCTTATGAAAGGTAAGTGCATCCTTGTGGTAAAGCTCAGGCAGAATTATATCAAACATGTTTGACAGAGCCAGAAAGATTTGTGACAAAGACCATATTAAAAAAGTACTAACCTTCCTAGAGAAAGTTTTCAAAAACAATGGATACCCTTCCAGTTTTATATCTACTGCCAAGAAGAACAAAAGTATAAAACAATGATCACAACAAGTCCAACGTAAATTGATCATTTCTTTACCCTACATTCTCAAGTTAAGCGAAAAACTTAAAAGGATTTGTCAAAAATTCAATGTTAAAGTTTATTTCAAATCAGGAAAATGTCTTTGAAACACCCTCATCAAAGTGAAACAATCAAACAACAAATCTAAACAAAAAAAAAACTTGTCTATGAAGTATCATGTTCGTGTGGCAATACTTACATTGAAGAAACTGGTCCGACCATAGAATGAAGAGTAAAAGAACATAAAGATGCTGCTATACTAACACATCCAGATAAGTTGGCTGAACATAACTATAAAACAAGACATAACATATAATGGGATAAACATAAAATTTTAGACAAAACTCACCACTGGAAAGAAAGAAAGAAAGAAATATCAAAGAAGCTATTTACATCAAACTTCACCAACCTGAACTTTACAGAGACAACGGCGTGTACATCCATGACCTTTGGATATCCATTTTTAACAAACTCTGCAAATAAAATGATGACGTCCCAGTTCCACGGACAACACTCTCCAATCATCACCCTTGCTTCACCTCACAGCCTGAGCTTTACCACAAGGCCTTGCTTACCTTTCATAAGACTTTACACAAGTTCCTACGGTGACCTGAAGAAGGCCTCAATATTGAAGCCGAAACGTTGTCCTCTTTTCACTCAATAGGCGATTGCAGTCCATTAAAGTTCTAAAAACTACTATGCACTGAATGAGTGTAATGAACCTATAAGTTGAGGTCAATTTAAGATACTTGGAAATGCAAATGGGGACTATGTAATGTCTACTGACCAATTGTCTTAAACTGGGATTCAGTCAACAAAAAAGTGCAGTTAATTTATTTTAATTTTGCATGTTTTCAGCCAGCCAGAAATTGATAAAAATCTTTGCATTTCTGGCATTATAAGATTTTTTCTTAATACTTCTGTATTGCTGGAAAGTTTAAAATAATATTTCTGGCTGAAGTTCAGAATGTTTTTGTATTTCTTTTGAGACAGCATTCTTCAAATGAAAGAGGTTTTAGAATTGCTAATTTATTTCCTTTAAACAAAACTTGATAAAATTGCATGAGATTATTTGTGTTAATTACATACTAACAATTTTTCAAAATCTCTTATAATTGGATTTTATTTTCTTTGTATATGATCTATGACGATATTAATATGTATACTTAAGCCTTCTTTTGTTTAATATCCTGATCATAAATGTCAGCAACAAATGTTGTTCACACAGTTAATCCTAGGAGATTATAAGTGGATGACTTATGAAGAAACTGACAAAAAGGTGGAGCTCATAGGTAGAGGACTTATGGCAGTAGGCCTTCGGCCCAGACAAAATGTTGTTATCTTTGCTGAAACACGTGTGGAATGGATGATAACAGCACAGGCTTGCCTTCGCTTCAACATTCCAGGTATATATATATATATTTAACTGCTTTATGGAAAAGAAAGGAAGATGATGTTGGCTAGAAACAAGAAAGACAAAACTACTTGGGACCTACATTGGTCTGTTAAGTAGAAATTAAAATGCTCTATGAATGTACATTCATAAGTGTTTTTTTTTTTTCTCAGTTCTTTGAAAAAATAGCCATGAAACAGTTCCAGCTTTTTGAATATCTAATAAATGTGTTTCCAAGCTGTGTGATTAAATTACATATAATCTATACCATCACTAAGATTTAGAACATTAAATCAGATTAAAAAATGTATAGTTCTTGTTTGAATTTTTAGGTCCTAACCCTTTTTTTTTTGAAAAAAAGTAACTGCTGCTCCTTTTTGAAATTCTAGAATAGAAGCTGGTCTAACACTTTTAACAGCATACAAAATTATTCTTTTAAGTTGAAACTCACACAATTTAAAGTATATGTATTATTGACTAGTGTGCACTGTTATCTGGCCATGTTTAATTAGAAATACTTTTCTCATTATGCAAGAATGTATTTTTTCTTCATGAAATTTCTTTGCATATTTTATGAATGAAAAATAAGTTTGATATGAATATTCGAACCATTAGAATATCAGAATGAACTTCAATATAATTTATAAATAAACTTTTATGGCACATTTTATAAAACTTTAACAGTTGCAAAATTCTAAAGCTCCTGCTATGTTTTAAACAGTGAGTCTTTATCCTGGTATATTTGTCACCAATGTATATGTAATTTTGGATATTGTGTTATATTTTAGATTCTATATTATAATATATATATCTAGATAAAAATCAAGTACTTTTTAAGATACAAAGTAAGAACATAATCATACCAATATTTATAAGTTAGACATAATTTTCAAAGGAAGTGTCTACAGAAATTATACTTGTAACATTATTAAAAGGCGATAACAAATGAGAAGTAGTTGTTTTATCATATATACACCTGGAAAAAAGTTAAGCACCCCCGTGTTTTTTTCAAGTGATTCAGATTCGACGTTCTTGTGACTGATTATAAATTACTATTCAATCTAAACGTG